GCCAGCCAGCCAGCCAGCCAGCCAGCGAGTTAGCGAGCCGGAGAGAGGATATTAGCCTCGCGAGTTTTCTCGTTCCTCGCCGCGTTCAACGCTGTTACACGTCGCGTATAATAGCTGTACTCCGCGGCATGTGTTTACGTGTTGTGACGTGACCAGTGCGAACCGAGAGCAGTGAAGAGATACAGAAGAGATAGCCCCGACAGTTTTTTTTCTCCTCTTATTTCCTGCGCACGCTGCTGCCTCCCCGTCTCTCCCCCAGCCGTTCAGCAGCCGTAGCGCAGACCGCGTGTTGTGGTGGATGTACGACGACGCGACGCGAAAACAGTGAGAGACGACACAGTGCCGAAGGGAAAAGAAAACGGAGAGCCGATCGGCGCGCCGCGTCGCGTTGCGCCGGCTGGTCGCCACGACTCCCAGTCGCAGTGCTTCGATACGAAACACGTGTGCCGCGAAGACTGGAGCCGAAACCCCGAAGCCGGGGAGGAGAGCTCGCGGTTCGGTGAAGGATACAGGTGAAACGGAAGTGCCGAAAGTGTGGATACCTTGGACTACGAGCCGCCCCCGGTGCTGCCACCGCGGCGCCCGCCCTGGCCGTCCAACAGCCCGAGCAGCACCGCCTCGAGGTACATCGGGCAGCGCGCCACCGCCATCATCGCCACCACGTCCCCGCTGACATCCAAGGCGGCTACGACGACTACCACGTCGACGACGCCACTGACAACGACGCTAGTCCCGGCTCCGGCGCCGTCCGCCTCTCAAGGCTCAACGACCTCCTCGTCTGCGCGAGTGTCGCCGCCACCCTTGACGCCGCCCCAGTATCCAGCGCCTCCACGGCCCCCTAGTCGAAACGGTAAGTGCAGAACTTAAACTTAAAAACACCTCGCAATTATAGGCGTAGGCAATTTGATAGAAAGAATCTCGAGGCTAACGTAGAAACGTTATTCGACTGCAGGCTCATTCGATTCTCACAGTCAGTGATCCTCGATCACCTTTCCACCAAGTGTTCCCGTCGCATCTGGAATTTAATACGCGTGCAGACGATAGGTTTCTATTCACCCTGCCCGTCGTATCGATTCCACGTTTCTCTAGAAAATGTAACATTTAGCTCTAGCTGTACATACTTGCTCACCGATCCCGTTTCTAATGCGATCGGGAGCGTGCGAGGTCGCGCGATTTCTTCGCGGCCACTTGATCGAGCGGATCGGAACGAACGAGCGTGACTCGGCCGCGTACATTGAGTCACGCTACACGTTTTCATAGAGGCCCGGCAGAATGCACACGACGCACACCGTACACGGGCTAGTGAATGAAATTTACTGGTGTAGAAAGTTTGCGAGAAAGTCGCCGGTCACCTTTCCGTTCGGTAACACGCGGCGGCACATACGTACATTCTTCCCCGAGCGCTCGACGCGGCGCTCGCCCGCTTTCCTCGCCCCGTCGACGGTGACCTCGTAGGCGGCGTCTACGTGTGCTTTCATAGAAAGTATCCGTTCATTGTGACGGTCTATGAATGCACTGGGCGTGAATGGTATTCGCCGGTTAGGTGAAATTCACCAGCCGGTTCGAATCGCGTACTACGATCTCGCGAACGATCATATCGGATTTCTCGCAACGACCAGAAAAATTCAAGTTGAAATAAACACCAGTCTCTTTGTCTCGCGTTATCTCGCGGTGTCGATACGCAGACCTACGTTAACCGAATATTTTTTATCTCTCCCTATTGTTGCACACCTCTACAAATTTAAGTTCTGTATAATTTTTTATATCAGTTCTCCGTGCTCGTTGGCGTATGGCACGATACGTGTCCGAACGAACCATGTTCTAATACTCGAAAAATGTCGTACTTCCGGTGACTCGCGATGAATGATCGTTTTCCACGAAACCACGCATGGAGTAATCGTTGACGCGTGTATAAGATACCTTGGAATGGAGCGCGCGATTACGATCGGTATCTGGAAAGGCTCGATCGAAGGCTTAGTCAGAACACTGGGATATAAGATCTGACGCGTAACGCGTGATATCCGATCGTCGATTAGATATCGAGAGTGCGGTGTAATTTTACTTGAGAACGAAACGCACAGCCGCGTGTAAGGCCGAACGTTCGATTTATGGTTTTCTAGATCGAAAGAATGATCGCAATTGAAATTCTCAAGTTATTTTACACTCGAACATTAGACATAAGATTCTCTTTTTACAATTAAAATAATTCGATGGAACAACTGATAGGCTGCCGGGTTGCAGATAAGCGATCAAATCTTTAATTGAACATCAATTGGCAATTAACGTTTGATTTTTGTTCAGATTTGACCGATCAAGAGTTAGACTTATTTAAGTAGCTCAATTGGAACGATTGAATTTTAATTCTTAGTTAATCCTCGAATTGTTATTCTCGATATATCGAATTTATCTTAATTAATCCTCGATTGAGATTTAAAGGGATTAAAAAACATCTGCGATCCTGATGGTATGACGATTTCTATAAACTTATTATCATTTTTTAAAGTAAAAATAAAGAAAGAAAAAGTATTTGATAATTGAAATTCATAGTCTGCCAAATGGGGCTGAACGATATGGCACGAGGTGGGCTAGATTTTTAGGCCGACTCGTACGAGCCGCACGTCGAGATATCGGCACGTTCGCGCGCATCGTGACACAGATACATATACGTACAGGAGAGTTTATAGGCGCGCGGTAGCGTCGGTCTGGCATGAATGAAACCATGATTTCCGCGCATGGCGCATAGGTAGGTAGGTGACTCGCCTGGCACTTTGCTCGGCGACTCATCGATGAGAAAGATTAAAGAGCATATGCTACGTCTCTGTTCGCCCCTTCCGCGCTACTCCGCCCGTATCTGCGACGGGGATACAGAAAAGCGATTTAATTTCATTCTAATTTAGCTGGCTACGAATCGATAAGACTTCTCATTCAGGAAACTTTTGAATGGCAACTAGTAAAACGTAGTGTCGTAATCGGCTGTTTACAAGACTCGTGTTTGCACACTCGCTGAAGGTTTTCAACTTCGTTTCACGTTCAAACGATTCTCTAACCACGAAAAATAATCTTTAAACCATTGCTTCACAACATTTTATACAATTGCATATTTCAAATGGATAATTCCTATTGCGTACGTGCGTTTGTTGTGCTAGAAAGGGATAGAGATAAAGCCGATCACGCGGAACGCGATTTTCCGATACGGCTTGAATAATTCGCAATTCGTTTCGAGATACGGTACAGAGATAGCCATTGTATCACGAAAATATTCTTCGTTGTTGTGAAAACAATGAACAAACAAACAACCAGGCAGGAATTGTTGTATTTAAGTTAATATTTTCTATGTTTTTTTAATCATTATCTCATCTCATCTTCATATTCGTCATTCCTTGATTCATACCTGCAACCTTTGCCCTATCTTTGAACTTCAACCCTGATATTCCCGGCCTTACAAATCCTAATTCCCACTATTTGAAACTGGAACCTATGTATTAGCCGCCCTTCCCTAATTTCTTGGCTTTTTTTCCGAACTTCCACAAAAGTTGTATTACTTTTAATAAACTATAAGTTAACGTGATACAACGGGATGTAAATTAGACGATTTCCCGGTATCCGGAATGGCATCGAATTCTGAGAAGCTGCTATTAAACGACAATTAGTCGTATCTTAGAATGGACCGTCGCTGGGCACATGTATTGTGCGGCGCGGAGGGACGACGATGATGACGACGATGGAGGCTAAGAAAAATCTAGTGTTCCCTGGAGTCGAGCCGAGATATCGCTCTGTACATACGAGCCAATACGTTCGGTCACGTAGCAGGCAATCTTTGAACTCGGCTCGCTTCGTTTCGAGCTACCGTTTTCTTATGTAATATGACGCAACTCCGCAATAAACGTGGAGGAGCCGTGCGGTAACGACGTTGCAAATGCACTTGATGATCGTCCGCGCGAAAGACGCCGTGTCCTTGAGCGACATGTGTCCGGAATAACGAATCGAAGGAATATGAACAAAGTCATGAAAGGAGTGGCTGGCTGGCTGGCTGGCTCGCTCGCGTGTTTTCTTCGCGCGCCACCGCCACGCGTTTAACTCATCACCGTGGCATTTAAATTGCTCTCCGGTCGCATCCTTCGAACGCGATTTAGAGCCCAGATGCTAATCGATTTGGTGCGTTGATCGACGCGAAATTAATTCGACACGCCCGTACGAGCCACTTCCGGTGTTTCATTAAGGAAACACGCGACGTGTACGTCTCGAGGAAAAATTGATTAGATCGACTGATGGAACATAATAAGCCGGGTTAAGTTTCTGAATCGGCCGGTTGTAGAAATTTCATTTCCATATAATAGACGCGCGGCGACCAAAATCGGTTATAGATGAACCGCTCGTTACGACAGTGTTTCTGGTATGCCTTGTTGAGTAACAGATATTCATAACGTGCTTTGCTTAACGATCGAGTACGTTTTCGATGCAGAGCCGCCAAGCCTGTCGACCTATCCCACTGTTACCAGTGCCTTCGAATCTTTAACAGAGAACGCGATTCAAGTATTCAGACTAGAGAGCGAGAGAACAACATACCTTGCGTATACATGTAGATGAACGTTTCAAGGAGAATTCTGTGATAAAATAGGCTCCGCTTAATATATACAAATCTAAACATTTTTAAACTGGTATCGGATACGTGCATATGGTAACCATACGTCTTTTATTTATCTGCTCTCTCGTATAAAATCAATTTACTATAGTTGGGATTGCTGCGACACTTAAAATGTGACATGCCGTTGTTTCTTATTACGAAAGAATTTTGTATTTGTTTTTGACTTGGTTGAAAAAGTGTGCTGCGATTTTCGATATTCGAAGGTGGCAGAAGCTCGTATTTTTCGGTCGAACGCTACGTCCTTAGCTCGAAGCGAGATTCTCCGGCTGTTCGTAACACAAGAACACCGCCGCTATCTTGGTGTTTGCCAACCCCGTTATCTCTCGTTCCTCCGTCTTTGATCTCCTCTTTTGCTCTCTCGCCCGTCTCTCTCTCGTGTTTCCCTTCCCTCTTTGTCTCTTTGTCGTCGGTGCTCTACCCTCCCCTGTTCGTCATCGTTTCATCAACTCGCTCCTGCTCGCCTGCTTTTGCACAAGCACTGAACGCAATCTACGATCATCGTTATGTGCTGTCGCGTCATATCCGGTCTGGGCTGATCGCGCGCTCGCCTTCTCTCCCCGTTGCCCGTTCTTAATGCTTCTCTTTTCGGTCTTCTCGCGGCGGCTTGCCGGGTCGCCGCGCCGGTTCTCTCCGCTCCGCTTCCCCGCTCCTCCTGTCCGATTTGCACGTCCGCTTCTTGCGTCGCGGCCGAACATTCCATTCTTTATGGTCGTCGCGAATTATCTTACCGATCTCGTATTACCGATAAAAGGTGGCCTCCGAGGCATACGCACAACTTCAATGTACGTTATTGGGAAACCTATTGCCGGCGAGTTTTTCAAATTATTGCAAGCCTCTCGTATAGCCTATAGCGAGAAAGATGATGAGAGGACGTTTATTGCCCACGAAGATATCGTGTGTCGCGATCAGCTCGCAGAGATTGACCGGAAGTCGCGGGGACGAAGATACGAGTCAGGCCTGCCGTTTTAATTGGCTCACAGAGGATTCGATTCGGTTCAGGGTTCAACGGATTGAACCTCTCCCCCTCCCGGCCTCTCTCTCTCTCTCTTTCTCTCTCTGTCTCTCCGGCGAATTAATTTATTGTCACTGCCACGGGGCCAACCGGTATGATACACGGATGCATCGACTTTTATTGCGGCCACGAATTACACGCGCATAAACGGTCCCGCGAACGATCGGTTGCGTAATATACCCCCGCGATAAAC